TCATTTGCTTTTTGTGGATCATTTGCTTTCTGTAGATCATTTGGATAATTTGCTTTCTGTAGATCATTTGGATCATTTGCTTTTTGTGGATCATTCGGATCATTTGCTTTTTATAGATCATTTGGACATTTGCTTTTTGTGGATCATTTGGATCATTTGCTTTCTGTAGATCATTTGGATCATTTGCTTTCTGTAGATCATTTGGATTATTTGCTTTTTGTGGATCATTTGGATCATTTGCTTTTTATAGATCATTTGGATAATTTGCTTTTTGCAGATCATTTGTTTTTGTGGATCATTTGCTTTTGTGGATAATTTGAATCATTTGCTTTTTGTAGATCATTTGGATCATTTGTTTTTGTGGATCATTTAGACCATTTGCTTTTTGTGGATCATTTGGATCATTTACTTTTTGTGGATCATTTGCTTTCTGTAGATCATTTGGATCATTTGCTTTCTGTAGATCATTTGGATCATTTGCTTTTTGTGGATCATTTGGATCATTTGCTTTTTGTGGATCATTTGGATCATTTGCTTTTTGTGGATCATTTGCTTTTTGTAGATCATTTGGATCATTTGCTTTTTATAGATCATTTGGATCATTTGCTTTTTGTGGATCATTTGGATCATTTGCTTTTTGTAGATCATTTGGATCATTTGCTTTTTATAGATCATTAGGATCATTTGCTTTTTGTGGATCATTTGGATCATTTGCTTTTTATAGATCATTTGGATCATTTGCTTTTTGTGGATCATTTGGATCATTTGCTTTTTGTAGATCATTTGGATCATTTGCTTTCTGTAGATCATTTGGATCATTTGCTTTTTGTGGATCATTTGAATCATTTGTTTTTGTAGATCATTTGAATCATTTGCTTTTTGTAGATCATTTGTTTTTGTGGATCATTTGCTTTTTGTGGATGATTTGGATCATTTGCTTTTTGTAGATCATTGAATCATTTGCTTTTGTGGATCATTTGGATCATTTGCTTTTGTGGATCATTTGGATCATTTGCTTTTTGTGGATCATTTGGATCATTTGCAATTCAAGCCGCCAGAACAAAAATCAAACTTGCGCGTACGGCGCAACCTGCATTATATAAACAATTAGTCATCTGTAGCTACTGTTGCGATGCAGGGGACGTTTACGCGATAAATAGTACTGTATTATTTAAAATAAAGCTTTTGATATAAACGTTTAGTTGCTTTCTTGCGATATACGAATTCCAGGCTGGTGGTCCGTTAATTTGTTTAGAAATAGATCTAATTACATGTGTTCGAAGCTTTCAACACGACACTGAGACTGAAAGACCTGAAACGCTGGAACGGGGTGACAGCCGCTCCTCTTGCCTTTTACCAGGAGGGGCACGGGGGCGAAGGTGGCCTTTTGTTTAAAGGAAAATATTTGTTATTAATAGAAAGAATTCGTCCTTGTTATTACGGAACTATATAAACTATATAATATGATATAACATACTTTTGCTGGAAAACTGTAAGAAATGTATGGAAATTAAGTTTATATGATTTCAGTGTTGTTCCAATTTGCTGTTAACGTGCGTGTCACCTCATATTTTTCGCAAAGACCTCTGAAAAAAATTTGGTCGAGAAGGAGGGCGACGTTAAAATAACTATAAAGCGATAACAATATATAAAAATAGGTACGCGACCGCGTACATGTATCTGCGCATTAAAGGTCCAGACACGCCGGACGCGATTCGACAACGCGACGCGATTTTTCGATTTTCACTGACCGTTAAATTTAATCCAAGTTTAAATATTCTAAATATTTAGAAGCGCTATAACATTCTAAGTTACTTGGTCTACATATGTTTCTAACTGATTTGTCTCATTGGCTGTTTTTCAAAGTAACTGAAAAATCGCGTCGCGTTCTCGAAGCGCGTCCGGTGTGTCTGAATCTTAAGGTCTGATTCCACGACGGCGAAATTCGTCGCGAGAACTTGTGTCTGCGAAATACGGTGGTTGCACATGAGCGATTGTATTGAATTGTCCCACTTTGTCCGCTTTCGCAGTAAGTAGAAATGTTTCGCATTTCGCCGAGAAAAAAACGCTCGTGGAATCAGGCCTTTACTGCATTGATGTTGCATTCTCGGAATCACATTTTTACAGCAATTGTGCGAAATTGTGCTAGTTGAAATTATATGCCTGCTTCAGATATAATATTTACATTTAATCAGTGACTTCTAAATTAAGAGGACGAGAACTATTTATATCCCGAATCACGGCAACTGATAACAATCATACAAAAATGTTTCTTTTTATATGGAGCTAAATATCTGCTATTCATACAGTTCATTACTTTTAAGAACAATTTAAAGAAAATAATTAATTAAGGCTGTAAAATGTGTGGATTTAAAGACGTGGGATTAGACGTCTGTACATGGAGTCATGAGCTAATAATAGTTTCTGACATTTAAAACAACAGGGCTACGTTTATCCTATACTTTGTTTTCATAGTTTAGCCTAGTTTCAGAGGCCTGCATTAAATAACAGTCAAGATATATACGCAAATATAATTTGCGTGTCTATTTAAAATTTGTAATTGTTTCGTGAAGATTCAACCATAAAACAATTGCCGGAAATGCAGGTCCTGTTTAGAGTGAGGTCGCACTGTTTCAAAGGTTGTTGCTGATTGGTTCATAGGTGTAATGTGGTGGTCGTGGTGGTCGGCCAATCATATCGAGTTCTGATAAAAGCTTATTCAAACATTAACTAACACATTAAATATTAATTTATTGCTAAAAATGGGGCAATAATAGTGAAAATGAATCGTCATACACTTTGATATCAACATAATTACATTACACTCTTGGACATATTTCATTCGATTTATGAGTTTAATTATAAATGCAAGTGGATGCTATGGTCGACCTAGCAATGCATTGATATTGCTGAATTATAAAGGTTAATACTCTATTTTTTAAGAAATTTTACAATGTACTGAATCTAGTAAGGCTAGTATAATATATAGTATAATATATATAGCAGTTGTGGTAGTGTGGCAGTAGTGTGGCAGTAGTGTGGCAGTAGTGTGGCAGTAGTGTGGCAGTAGTGTGGCAGTAGTGTGGCAGTAGTGTGGCAGTACTGGTAGAGGTGTAGAGTAGCAGTTGAGGTGGTGGCGGTGGTAGCAAGCCAATAGTATTTGTGATATATATTGGTTGTTTTAATATTAATAATATTACTCTAAAAAAATAAAATTTGCAGGATAGTACAAATACAATATATATGCAGCAGTAGCAGTTGAGGTAGTGAGGCGGTGGTGGCGATGGTGGCGGTGGTGGCGAAGGTGGCGGTGGTAGCAAGCCAATAGTATTTGTGATATATAATGGTTGTTTTGATATTAATAATATTGCTCTAAAAAAATAAAATTTGCAGGATAGTACAATATATATGCAGCAGTAGCAGTTGAGGTAGTGAGGCGGTGGTGGCGATGGTGGCGGTGGTGGCAAAGGTGGCGGTGGTAGCAAGCCAATAGTATTTGTGATATATAATGGTTGTTTTAATATTAATAATATTACTCTAAAAAAATAAAATTTGCAGGATAGTACAAATACAATATATATGCAGCAGTAGCAGTTGAGGTAGTGAGGCGGTGGTGGCGGTGGTAGCAAGCCAATAGTATTTGTGATATATAATGGTGTTTTAATATTAATAATATTACTCTAAAAAAATAAAATTTGCAGGATAGTACAAATACAATATATATGCAGCAGTAGCAGTTGAGGTAGTGAGGCGGTGGTGGCGATGGTGGCGGTGGTGGCGAAGGTGGCGGTGGTAGCAAGCCAATAGTATTTGTGATATATAATGGTTGTTTTGATATTAATAATATTGCTCTAAAAAAATAAAATTTGCAGGATAGTACAATATATATGCAGCAGTAGCAGTTGAGGTAGTGAGGCGATGGTGGCAGTGGTGGCGAAGGTGGCAGTGGTGGCGAAGGTGGCGGTGGTAGCAAGCCAATAATATTTGTGATATATAATGGTTGTTTTGATATTAATAATATTGCTCTAAAAAAATAAAATTTGCAGGATAGTACAAGTGCAATATATATGCAGCAGTAGCAGTTGAGATCGTGAGACAGCGGTGGCGATGGTGGCAATGGTAGTATGGTGAAGGCAGGGCCATTCCTAGCGCGATAATTGGGGTCGGGGGGGGGGGGGGGGGGGGGTATATTCATATATTCGTGTTCTGCCAAGGCCTCGAAATAAGTGCCAGTCACTGACCGGTAAAAAGCCACAGTTTGACCGGCAAATCTTGTCGCCTGGCGGACATACGTGACCAGTAAATTTTTTAATAAAAAAGTACATTAAAAAATGGAGCAGATTTTAATTTCCAATTTTCCAAAGAAGCGTATATGTCCGTCTACAGTGCAGGCAAATAATGGCGGCGAAGTGACACATTTTGTCATACATGCAGATACGATATACCACAAGCATTGTACCTAAGGGGCGGATAATTTGACTTTGGGGGGGGGGTTGGAAGATTTCAAAAAAAATATTCCTGCAACCCAAGGAGAAAGAAAGAAAAAATCATGCAGCATACAATCGAGAAAAAAAATATCATGCAAAAAGGGGCGCTCAAAAAAATATTCTTGCATGTAAATCTACTGAAGCTTTTCACTTCAGTATTGTATCCACAGGCTTGAAAGATTTTGCATTTTTGAGCAGCTAGCACATTTGCTTAAAAGAACACTGGGTAAACAGTGGACAGCATCACAGGGATAGCCAGTCGGACATTCCCTGGCAAAATTGTTGCCCTTTCTATAATAAACAGAAAAATACATGGGCATGGGCGTCAATCCTTGGGGATGGGGGGGCATGTCCCGCAGTTTTTGGAGTAGGGGGGGACGAATATCTAATTATCCCCCCCCCCAAACTTTTTGACATGTTTAATGAAATTTTGTTTCTTGGTTATCTAAAAACCTAATGCATGGTCATTGCTGTTCTTCAAAAATTGTGAATGAATGGAAGACATTTAATAAGAAGTACAATGTATGATCTTTCTGTAGCCGCTCGGAGCAAGTACTGATATCTCATATGTAAAATTGTAAATATTTAAAAATAATTGCGTCTTAACTGTCTCGTCTAACCCTACAAGGTTATTACAGTTAGCTTGCACCTTCATATTATGTAATATTTAATGAAGAGAAGCAGTGGCGGACGCTAGGGGGAGGGGGCGAGGAGTGGCCCGAGCCCCCCCCCCCCGATAATTTTAAAAGACTGTAAAAATCTTGTACCAAATAACACAAATCACACTCATATAACGTAATTGTCATATCAAATAATAACTATTAGATAAAACTTAAGCTAAAGCAGTAACCAATATACCAAACAATATAATAATATACGTTTCTGTACTGTACATGACACAACATACGCATTTTATACATTCTTTTTGACGGATACTAGGAGGTCAACTTTTTGCAACAGGCACTTCTTTAAATGTCATTGTCGATTTTTTGTTGTTTTTGAAGCTTATACTAGTCTTTAGCAGCAAAATTTTCTGCTGCACCATATTATTTGAATGCGTATTAAACTATTATGCTCAAAAACAACGGATAATTCAATTAACATTCCAATTTTAATTATGTTAACAAAAACAAAAGCGTGCGCAGCGAATAAATTTTACTCACTCAGAAATGGTAATAATCATGTAAATATTTTCTCTGAAATGTTGTTTTTCTATGCTTTGCATGTGATTTATAACTGAATTAATGCCGACCATTAAAACAGTGTTTTGAAAACCTAGTTTTTACAAAATGTGTTCTCAGAATGCTGCAAATGCCATTTCTGGGATCCAAATTTTAAAATTTTTCCGTGCCTTTGGCACGAGCCCTCCCCCAAATATTTCGTAAAGTGTCCGCCACTGAAGAGAAGTTATATGTAAATTTCCAGGTGCTAATAAATATTGATTAATAACTGAGTTTCCCTTACATAGATGATTATCATCAAAATAAGGCAAATGGTTAATTTAATAGAGTGAGGACATGTTCATCGAGAGTAACGTCTGTTTACAGGCTAGGACATGTTGGTTTCTAGAGTGTTTCTCACATGGTTAACATTCTCACGTGGATTTAAGATCAGCACATTGTAATATAACTTTATAAGTGCCTCCAAAACGCTGGGAATGCCGTTTCAGTGTACCAAAATTTAAAAAAAAATCGGGTAGCATGCCTCCGGACATTCATAATTTGGAGTCCGTCCCCCCCCCCCACTTTTTGGGACTTCGTGTTGAACATGATATCTCACTTGTTTGCTGCGCTCACTTGTGAGATATCATGTTCAACACTCTCTATCTATTAACTATACAGGGTGTATAAAAAAAACGCAACCTCGGAATTTCCTAAGAAATCACTTTGCATTCTTAAGCATAAAAGATTTTAGGCCCCTGGGAATTGAAATCAAATTGCTAATAGATCATATTACCGTCGTTTTGCATTAAATAAATTTTGCTTTATGCAACTCGCGTGTGCAGTAATTTTGACAGTTGTGCTATTTTAAATTCCCAGGCGCCTAAAATCTTTTGTCTTTAATTTATAACAATGTCGATTTCTCGGGAAATTCCGAGGTTGCATTTTTTTATACACCCTGTACAGGGTGTCTCAAAAAAACCCAAAATCATTGAAATTGACGTATTGTTCGATATTCAATGCCCTAGCACTAAGTTAATCCCACGAGTGCATAAAAGATTGACATAACTGCTATAATGAATGGTAATACTCAGCGTAAACTTGTTATGTCAGGCATAAAGTACTAAACCCACGAATGCATATTACGCATATTACAATTTACGAAGCATTTTTAAATTCCCATGAGCAAACAAACGTTCACTTTACAAAGATATTTTAATTTTTTAAAACAAATTAATCACCCTGTCAAAATCCTTTGTGTTACGGCATTGAAATTCGAACAATACGTTATTTCAATGATTTTGGTTTTTTTTGAGACACCCTGTATATGGCTACGCTAAATATTTCAATACAGACAATGGACTGCAATAATTTGCAAAACAGTTATGTCATAGGTGGTTATGTTCTCAGAAGTTTATGTTTTTGATTGGTTGGTTGCGCGTGGGGGGACGAAACATTTCATCTCCTTTGAAGGCGGGGTTTTTCCGATGCTTTTTTGGGGGTGCCAACCAAGTCTTATGGTAGAATTTTGGAATACCTTCCACCCCCCCCCCCCACACACATACTTTATGACCGAGCCCTAGAAAGCACGTTTTCCCATGACATATTTTTAATAGTATTACATTCTTTTGTAAATAAATTATTCTGCTGGTGGTGTTACATGTCGTGTTTTTAAGTTACGTAGCGACATGAACTATGGGTAAGTGCATGGGCTGAGATATCCCAAAATAATATCCCATTTGTGCTGTCTTCTATATTTTCAATATCATTAGTAAAAATGTTATCAATTAATGTGGCAGTGTGTTGTGTGATTCTTGTTGGTCTTAATGTAAGTGGGAAAAATGAAGACGTAAACATTTGTTCAAGGAATCTGCTAGTATAAATCACAAGATTCTGATTTCAAGAAATCTGTATTAATTAATGAAATCCCCCATGAGCTGGCCTATCTTATTTTCTTTGTCTATTTTGCCTAGTATCTGATTCATTATATTTTCAAACAAATCAATTTTATTATTTGGCGGTCTGTATATTACCCCTATTAGGGACCGGTCATAAAGTAACTGCTAGGGTGGGCTGGAGTTTTTTGGGATGGGCCATGGAAAATCTTTGGGCAGTTTTTTTTTGTATGTCCACGGTTGGGCCACCAAACAAAAACCAATATATTATATAAAGATATTAATAATAAAAGTAAACAAAACTATCCAAATGCAAATGATGCTATTGAAGCCAGTACTTTGTTTTATCAAACAAGAAGAGGTGGTCGAATCACAGCAAATACAACCAAATGGAGAACAGCTCAGTATCGTAATTGGTGATGAATGTGTTGGTCAAGCTTGGTGGAATTACGTATGTCAATACAGTTCCAGTGTATATTTACAATGTTCATACCTTCAAATTTTTTTTTTATAAAAGTGTATTTCCCCAATTTAGATTGGGCGGGTGGGTCATGAAATAAATTTGGTAAGATTAGATGGGCTTTGAAATTTTTATCTACATCCTAAGATGGGTCACCAAACTTATTGGAAAAATTTGTGATTTACCTCCAGCCCACCCTAGCAGTTACTTATGACCAGTCCCTTAATAGTAATACGTTTCACCAACAGCTGTAACGAGTTTTATGAATATGGATTCAATTGTAGTTTACCGCTACGATTCATGATGATAAATACAGTAAGTAAGTAAGTAAGTAAGTAAGTAAGTAAGTAAGTACAAGTAAGTAAGTAAGTAAGTAAGTAAGTTTGCAAAAGTCCTCATTAATATTATCATTTAGCCACGTCTCAGTTCAGTTAAACCTATTATGTCTAATGGTATGTTTAATTAATGATTTGGTTTACTCCTTCAAAGAGTCAAATTTATTAACTATTATGCTTCTTGTATTTAAGTGTAACATCGAAAAGCTTTCGTTGAGATTCGCCTTGTTGGTAAATTTATTGAAATCATTTGGTAAACTAATATTCATAGTTGTTTATTATTGGGTTTTTTTCCATATTTGCGTTGTTTTCAGATTTATAGGCAATATTATTAAAACGAGTGTCGAAAGGGTTAAATTTCAAATGCCTTAGCCTATATCCATATCGTTTTCACTGATATTTTTTCGTTTAAAACGGTAAATTAATACTCTAAATCGTCAAGTGTGTGGTAGTATTATTATTATTATTATTATTAGTATCAGATAAGCAATTTTGACACATGTCAATAGTGTTATTTGTATTGGAGTCAAATGACTTTGCGCAAGCAGACACAGCGTGAAACAATTTTTCACATGTGAGACATTGACATTCAATATATTTTTGTGTTTCTTGAATTATTTTGAAGCAGGAATAGCATTTTTTCTTGTGCTTATTTTTACCAGTAGCCATTTAGAAAGTAGTTTTGTCCAATGTTAAATTAGATTTTCAAAACACACCGCAATATACATGACATAGTATTAAGTGAGTGTTTGTATTAACGTGTATTAGTATTATTAAAAACTTGCCCTTCAATAATCAATTTATCCTTAACAATTCTTGATTGTTTTCCCGCAGCTCTTGCCTTCTTCAATTCAGGGAAGCAGCTCTTGCCTTCTCCGTTACGGCCAATTCGATGAGATCGGTCAATCTTGACATGCTTACGCTTACGTGCGTCTTCGATTTGAAGTAATGAACGATTTCTATCTTTTGCTCTAAGAGATCATGTATAATTTCCGTTGTATTCTCCTTCTCGTGTTCGGGTATGTTGAAGAACAACAGGTTGTCGCGCATAGACCTCGCTTGTTATAAAGTCTATTATCTTGTTGCGCATAGACTGTATATTAGCATATCGCATGTCAATAGCAATATAATTTCGTTTTGGAAAGTGATTTTGTATAGATTTTATTGATATTATATCGATTTAACTCATAAAATATGCTTCGCAAGTCAACTGTTATATTTATATCATGATTATCGCGGATATTATATATTTAACTCATGAATTTATTTATCGCACCTTGAAACTACACACTTGACTTGTTAGTGATACTGATATCATGTGTCTATTCATGATTTCGTTTTGGGAAATGATTTTGTATCGATTTAATTAATATTGTATCGATTTAACTCATAAAATATTCTTCGCAGCTCAGTTGTTATATTTACAAACAGGCAATTGCCGCGGATATTATATATTTAACTCATGAATTTATTCAATTCAAACGGAAGTAAGAAAGGCCTCTAAAGTGATTCTGTGATTCGTCGACACCACGACCACCAATTAACATGCTCTAGCCAATGGCGTTAGACCTTGCAAACGGTGCGACCTAACAGAAATTAACAGACTAGGGATTCAATTCAAGAAAGTTCGGAAGGTGCGAAATATTAGAACGTATGCGCAGAACGGACTTTACATCACCTTTAAATCAGTTGCAGAGAATCAGTTGGTAGCTGGGACGTGTGTTTTCAATGCATGTTGATAGAATTTTGTATCATTTCCCTCTCGAACGTTGTGAATGCGACTGAAAAACAAAGTACTAATGATTGCGCATACGAAGACGAGAGATTGTCTCACTATTTTATTTTCGATTTTAAGTACGTGCATATAGTTACACAGTGAGTAAGATTAATACGTCAAATTTGACCAATCAACTTTAGGATTTGTTATACTCACTTGTGCAAAAATACTAATGACATTTACAGTAATGAGAACTTAAAAGTTAAGCAGTAGTTTACATGTAGCCAAGCAAGGTGTCAAGATCTGAATAGCTTTGAAATATCAGAACATTATACCCGTGTTCATCTTCAAAGCTGAAGTGCCATTGGACAAACAAAATGAACCAGTCACAATAAATATAGTCACAATATGAAGTTCATGAAGGATATTTTCTTCTTAAAGGCCGAATTATAACAATTTCCAGAGAATTTGCAGTCGGGTACGTCTTATGTAGGATATATCATTTGACTGTTGAATTTTGGAACAATTGCTCTCCTGCCAGCTAACTGAGCTAAGAATTAAGAATAGACACATACAGCTTTTGTGTGGGAGAATGGGTTATGGGGGTGAAGTACTCCTGTTACAATAAGTGTCACATTATATGTATATTTAACCCAATAGACTCTTTATGGCCTTATATTTCATCCTGCGGGGTATATATAAGGCCCGCTCTGATAACCCTAGGGGTAATGGTCCCTAGGGCTGCCCTGGGGGTAAGGGTCCCCAGAGCTGCTCTGGGGGTAAGGGTCCCCCTCTGACCTTATTAACCTGAACCAAGGGGTAAGGGTCCCTTGGACAGTTCCTATAACTCGGCCGATTATATTTACATTGAATGACTCTATGGGCATGAAGGTGACCTTTGGGAGCACTTCAACCCCAAACCATTAAATATTTTATTGCAATAACTTCAATAATTGATAACAACAATTATTAATGCTCTACTGTTTTTGATCAATATATATTTATATATATAATATGATATAATACATCATGCCCGTGACAGTGTACTCCAGTGATGGTGTTATCTCCAATAATAGTGTTCTCCTTTGGTAGCGATTTCCAGTAATAGTGATCTCCAATAATGTTCTTCCATAATAGTGTTCACTATAGGTGTTTTGTGTAATCCCTTAGGAGAAGTGGTGGGTGGGTGGGAAAAATGTTACAGTAGCTTTGGAACATTACTTTGTTAAGACTTTGAAACAAGTGATCTCTTTCAGGTGTATTTGGTCTATTTTACCGGCTTAACTGAATTATGATTGGTTACATGTTTTGATGCCATCAAAGATATATTTCGATTGGCTGAAAGATAATTGGTCATGAGAGGTGCACGTGTGCGCTTTGCCAATACAAAGATGACCTTTGATACAAATGACAGCTGCGGGTCTGTGACCACAGTGATATGGTTACCACTTACCATCAGGAATGATTATAAATTTAAAAATATGAAATATATTTCCTGACGATGACTGAATTTTAGTCGAAAGCTACAATATTAAAATGTTTACTTTCGAAGTTACCGTTGTTTTATATTTTATTAAAATACTCAGTGGTTAGTTCTACAGCACTGCTGCAAAGCCTTGCACTCATACTATAACTCACGACCAAGCACCCATCACTCCTCCTTGCAATTCCAACTCTTCTAGAAGACCCATTTGAATCCCATGACAATTTAATCAGTACACCCACGGCTCCAATTATCAGCAGAGGGCCTTTCGAACACAATTACCAGTCTTTTGTCCTATAGCTACACGCCAGTCATAGTCATTATATAAATATTGATCAGAGTACTGAGGTATGAATATAATCACTGTGTTTAAATATTTCAGCACATGTACAGTAAGTATAGCTTTTTCAGGTGTCAAAGACCTTATTTATAATTTACAGTCCGTGTCCTGTATCCCTGTAAAAGCCGTTTTCCACTTCAACAATATCGTATAGAAACGTACTGGTGAATTTCAGGCTCGCGATTGTATACCTTATTCTATATTCTAAACCACTGGGTTTTTTATGCAGATTTTTACTATATGCAACCTCCCAATCTACCCAATTAATATTCAGGTTTGTATGCCTTTTGCAGCAACAACAGAACGGCATTCTACCATTCCAGTAACTATTAAAATCTGAAAACCTATTAAAACATGGGATATGGTGCATGTAGAGCTCAACCAAATCAGTCATCATACAGTATAAAGCAAAATAAACGAGGGAGTCACGAGTCAGAATCTTCAACAAACTGAAACCTACCTGTATAACTACAGCATGGTCCTAAACTAAATTTAACAAAGACTATTCCAGAAACAATTTAGTCAATTTTCCCATTCTCATCCATTGAACCATTCTGCTGAAACACCGGTTGACAGATAACTGTGGTAGGAAGCACCTAAGTGAGCTGAGCAAGCTATGCACTGTAGACGGTGAAACTTCAGCCGTAGCTACTGTAACTCCCCTCGACAAAATCAGATCCTTCGTACTACTGGATGCAATAATCTGATCATTTGTGTAGTTCACAAACCCTTCCTCTTAGGCAGTGCTACCTAGTTAACAAAATGACTATACACCACAAATTCCAGGTGGTACATGCCCCACACATATAACACAATGCTTCCAAATAACAGATGGATTTTCCCGAACAAACCACCAGACTCAATCCATACATGCTACCACTTTCAGATCATCATTGCAGCAACAAATCCAATTTCGACTGGCAATCATTCCTGTCTCAGACCCTGCTGCACCATCAACTCTTAGCTTGCGTTGCAAGCCTAATTCCCCATTGAAACAATTCAAACAATGAACAAACCAGTTTCCACCTTCAAATCAGGATTTGATCAACATCAACCCCTTAGTAACAGGCACTCCAAGAGGAAAGATCAATTCTGTGACAGTTTATGAGCAGTGGGCAGTATACTGTTATCCTTATTGTATCATTATTCCACCCTGATCGAAGGTATTAGACATTCAGCACACAAAGGTGCCAGTCAATAATGGCTTCAACAGTTTCCTGGTCAGGTATTACTCCAGCCGTCACACGTATGTGAGCTATTGAGTGCAAATTATTATAACAGTACTGCGTTATTTTGTCACACTTCAGTGCACCCCACACCCTACCACTGCAACTAGCCTCAACCCCATTTTAGGGGATATGTGTTAATATCCCCTAAAATATATGTGTGGATATATATATGTATCTTATATACATGTGAATATGTAATATTTTTTTAATACAAGTGAGTTAGCTAACACAGCTGTTCAAACTGTATCTACATGAATAGTTTTATTCAAACTACATGTAAACCACATTAAGCGTTAGACTACCCTGGTTCCAGAGGTTTATTTTTATTATTTTCATTGCGAAGGGGAGAGGAAAAATAAACCTCTGGTTGAAAGCGGCAATTGATTCATCGAGCCGCGCCAATCAGTTTGAATTAGGGTCAGATCCTGACTCTGTCTCCTGATTGGGTGATTGTATTAAAGCTCTCTGATTGATTCAAATAAAACATCTATAACCAATCAGAGAGCTTTAATGCAATCATCCAATCAGGAGACAGAGTCAGGATCTGACCCTAATTCAAACTGATTGGCGCGGCTCGATGAATCAATTGCCGCTTTCAACCAGAGGTTTATTTTAAACCTCTGGAACCAGGGTAGCGTTAGACAGATTAAAATAGAAAAGTAGGGCGCATTAGGGTGCAATGCAAGTTGGTGGGTTAAGGATGGCTGTGGACAAGACTTGGAAGGGTCGTTTGAAATAAAAACATTGAAGAAATGGTATCCTGAACCACACATAAAATTTAGAATTTGAATATTTGCAGGCTCGCATGAACCCACATTAATTTTATTCACCACAAAGCTATGAATATGAAGCATAAGAGTATCAGGGTCAATCCTTTCTGGGAGGAGGTAACCCAAAGACCAAATTTTTAAGGATTGTAACAAAATAACATAAATTTAAAGATGATGTCCACTCCTTATATCTGGGGTCCCCCTTTGTTATGAGCAGAACTGATATGTAGAACGGAGTGGGAATTATCTTTAACATATTTAATTTATAAGTTTCCCCAATTTTCCCTGCTATTTGCTTCAAATTTTTTGGGAATCTACATACTTGGGAGGCCAGTGCTTCTCAGCCCCCTCCCCTCCCCCACTCACCAATCACAAAGCTTGCTTTTACAGGTTCAGGAAAGAGTAACCTGCTAGATTGATATAAATGCAATTGGAACTGCATGGGGTGGCCAACAGTGAAACAAATAAATGCCACTCCTTAATTATAATGATTCAATGAAATAAACTGTCAGTTATCTTTCTAAATTATTCCAAACACACCTATATTTTTGTGGCTAGCCCGTTCGCGGGCTAGCCACAATGTAACGCTAAAACTGTAAGAGTTGTGAAGTTGTGACGGAACCTGTCGACTGGCTTCGGAAACTGTCGTTGATGGCATGAGGCGATGATATTAAATGCCACAGAAAAGGTATCGTATATCCTTATACTGTGATCGTATTAACGGGTAACGACTTTAAAGTGGCAGATATATGCCTCACTCAGCAAAATTTATACAGTTGGCAACTCTCGTAGAAATACTCGAATGAATTTTTCACAGAAACGGTAAGTTAATTTTTGTTATTTCAATCGATATATTTTATGTTTACAATTTGTGAATCTGTCAATATCATTGCTATTCATGTCTGCTCTGGACTCTGCTTCTGGTCAAAGAGATTTTGATCACTCTTCATATAAAGCTTGATAGTGAGTTTACAATCCTGTTTATAATCGAACGTTCTTGCACAGAATAACAGATCTTGCACCATTATGTGGGTAAATTATATAAGAAGCAAGTCCATTGTTGGTATATTTTATAACAACACTACAACTGGCCCTATCCACTAGCTAGCAGGTACAAAACTACAATTATTAACACAGAAAACAGGCTGGACTATTTTATATTAATATAGTCTATAGTAGTCACTAGCGTGGAAGCTCAGTCTGTTTACATACAGCTGAAGGATCTTCTAGATGGAAGTAATTGAGTGAAAATGTATTATTTTACATATTATTTTACAGAAAATGTATTATTTTACATGACCTATTAAACCAGGAAATACAACTGCATGACATACAGTAGGTGCAGTATATTTTTTGGATATCTAGTCCAGATGTAAATATATAACTGATCTAAGATCAGCAGGGACGTAGAGACAGGGGTGTGGGTGTGTGTAAACCCCACAGGGGTGTAAACCCCACAACTGTGAAACTCAGGTAAAATTGAAGTATAGTGTAAATTTTGACATTTGAGGTAAAATTTGTGTAAAAAAGTTGTTATATTTGTGAAATGATGACCATGTGACATCCCGACACCCGTCCCCCCTCCCAGACGCTTCGCTACATTCCTGAAAATCAGTGCAATCACCATACAACACAGACCCTTGCAGTTGCGAGGGTATATATATGTGAAGAAGCAAACCCACAGCCATAATGTGATGAGGTCATATCGACAAGTTTCAACTTTTCTTTTCAGCATTTAATAACAGCAGTGTCAATTGAGTAGCATGTTCATACTTTTATAGCTACAGTTAAATGTTGTTTAATCCAACGAGCTGCAATGCACCCTAGCCTGCGTAGCAGGTGCTATTTAGGGGGGAGGGCGAGGGTGGGAGAAGCTAGGGGGGGGATGGGAAGGCGAGAGAAAGAGAGCGAGGAAAAATGGGAAGGGCGAGAAAGAAATATGCACCCCAGTGCACCCTACTTATTTCTTTTACTTGTCTAATGCCAGACGATTTTACTTTTAAACAATTTGCAGATAAAAGCACAATTCAAAATCATAGTGATGCATGGCATCTACATGGCATTTACAACTTCAAACAACTAAGCGAACATATATTCTGGTCAATTTGCTGATAATATGGTGACTGGTAATAATATTGGATAATATAGGAAGATCAGAATATTTGTGCAAGTATCAGGGCAATACAACTATCAGACAAAAATCTTAGTGGTAATGACATAATTGATTTGATGAGTTCATTATAAATTCCGATGCTGTTAGATTTTACAATAAATAAAAAAATGTTTAGAAATGTAGTATTAAATATTATATTTAATATAATGAAGAACTTTGAATTTAAATGCTTTATGAAATCTGCTATGCTAGCAATTCAAGAAAAGCTAATAACTTGTAAACAGACACCAAAATATATTTGTAACAAGAAACCCAATGTAATGAAATCTTAGTGAATTACATATTAGTGAAATTTTGAAAAACAATAAAATTGACATCATTTATAGTTGCTGTATATGCTTTTTATTTTAGCAAAACATTTATTAATTAAAGTACTAGTGTGACTCAATAATATTGTTGGCTGAACCATATTGCTACCAACCAATGTTGCTTTTAAATCAAGTGATTGTAGCCATTTGTTGGCATTGTAAGAAAGATGCTGCATCTGACCATTCTTCTATTGTAATTATTAATTTTGTATCAGAATGAATGTTTGTGTTGAATGTTCATGACAATGTGAACTCCAGCTGTATTCGAAAAGCTGAATAGGCTAGCCACATGTACGCAGTGCGTACCTATTTTTTGGATCTTACAATGCATCAGACTGACCACAGTTAATAGACTGACTGTGGACTGACATACTCACCACTGTTGAATAATCCTGTATGGACGGAAGTGCTTCCGGCTTCGTTAATCTGCGAAACAAGAAAAAGGTTCAAATCGTTCAATTTTATGTTTATAATTTCCTAAATATATAACTTTAAATCTCTTAAAAATTATTGTGATAAAAATGCAATTGAACTGGATTTGAACTAAAATTATTAGTGGCCAAAAGCGAAACAATAAATAGTAAATGCCATTATGCCACTCCTTAATAATAAATGCCATTATGCCACTCCTTAATAGTAAATGCCATTATGCCACTCCTTATAACAATTCAATGAAATAAAGTGTCAGTATCTTCAGTCTAAATCATTTTCAAACACACATATATTGTTCGGATCTTGCAATGCATTAAAACTGATATTTTTGTAATGATTGTCCAAAGTTCAAGCGTCGAATGTATTACAGTATCTTGTGTGGACGGAAGTGCTTCCGGCTTCGTTAATCTACGACTATGGCTGTGGAAAAAGGTATAATTTCATATTTAAAATTTAGTCCTAAAAATCTAATATTAACTTTTAAGTCTCTACAAAATTACTGTTTTCAGTCTTATAAAGAGTCTTAATTAATAAGAATGAGATCGTTGCTAGAGATATAAAACCTTGCACGCATGCATATATTACATCTGCCCGAAACATGCATTGATGAAACGCCTCTGCAGTTTCAATTTGACTACTAAATACTGTAGTAAGAGTTTTTTTCATCAAATTCAATCCCAATATGTCAAATATTATATCGCATGCCAAATAGACTGACATATATTGCCTATGAATGAGAATTCTGGCTCAAAGCGGCTGGGAAACGACACAAACGCACTGTATATGTAGCATTAGAAACAAACAGGAAATCAATTGCGTGTCTTCCAATAAGCTGCATTAGCGGTAGATTGGGTAAAACCACAAGACGCAAATATTATACGCCTTACAAGTAAAGCAGGATAAGACGCAAGAAGAAACATTTTTGATATTAATATACCTCGGCGTCATGAACATAACAAATTATTGAGAAAGTCCCACAAATTTATACTTACATTAATTTACATGGTTTTTAATATTGAACAAAATCGCATAAGAGTTAAAATGTTGATCAAATTGAAGCACCAATTCACCAAAAAGTACAGTCTTTGTGATAAAAGGATGAAATTTTGACAAATATTTCCGAGGTTTCAACTGAACACAGCTGTTGCTAATGTACTTTGTGTTTTCCAAGAAGTCCATCCCAGTTCTGAATCAGACCCAGAGCTGCCACTCTCAATAGCCTATTTTCACCTAAGGCTAGTACTAAAATCCCCTACTTTTCCCTACAAGTCAATGTGTAATTTTCCCCTACGTTCCCCTACAAATATCGCATTTCCCCTGTAATCCTGAATTATCATCTACGATACAGCTGTTTGCGGTTTTTAATATAACGATAATATATTCTATTTATTAAATTGCGCAAACCTTAACAAAACCAAACCACAAACTATTACCCAAAAAGTCACTCAAATTCACTCAAAAATTCAAGAAATAGCGAAACATTCTTCTGCACTAATGCACTTGGATGAATATTTAAGTTGTTGGGAAAAAATCCTTAGATTTCCTTAGATTTTTTCTCTTCCTTAGATTTTCCTTTTCGACACTAGAATTTCCTTAGAAAAGGAAATTTCCTTGAAAATGGAAGCACTGTCGTGGAGACCGGAGACGTGGAGTTATTATATCACATATTCCAGTGCTTCCACATTCAATTCAAATCTAAATTTCTAGTTGTTTCCATGAAAAATCCTGATTATCCTGCAGTTCAATAGTGCTAGTTCCATTTTGTAATTCATAATACCATAAACAGACACACAATTTTTTTTCAATTCAAACCGTGAAGAAATCCCCTACGCTCCCCTACAGATTACCCTTTCTCCCCGTAGGTATTCCCCACTCCCTACAAGATGTCATAATCCCCTACTGTAGGGGAATCCCCCTACGAGTGGCAGCCTTGATCAGACCGGAAATTGTGCAACATTATACTATGTATGTATGTTGTTGGTAAGGTGTAAAACACGGAATCTGGAATTTCGGAATCTTGGAACCTTTAGGCCTTGGACATATTAAAGCTGTCGGCCGGGCTCATGTGAACAGGGGCAAGCAATTGTCTCGGCTCATTATTAAAACAGTAGTGCTGCTTACATGTCATGAGATTTTACTTGTCTCACCGGATGACTCCCCTCTCAGGGTTGTTCCAGGATAATTGAATTTTTGGCAAAGTGACGAAAGTCACAGCTGAGTTATTTGTTCGGAGATATCATTAAAAATCTACAAGTGAGGTAGACCCGCTAAGGTGTTGTGAATAAAACGAGGAAGATTACAATATTTCTGATTTTTCTGCATGCAACGTGAGCTGGCAACAAACCATGATTTCATCTCATGAAAGTGTAGCGCGGGCCAAGGAATCAAGGAATTGCTGTTAGCCCACAGGCAATGTAATTTAATATGCAAGAACCTTTCCTTCAGGTCAGAACGAGTCTCGCTCAGGAGACGCCTTGAAATTAAAACTACATACAGAGCGCTCTTGCATGCTCAACTTCGTAATATTTGCCGCGTTTATTCTTGTTCTCGCTATAAAAATCAGCTGTGCTGAACTCGTTTAACTCCTTGTACAAACAAACCTCCATGTTTAATACAAGTACTATTGTTCCCAGTAAACTGCGAAACGACCGCTTTTTAGGCGGTTTGTCATTGACAGTTTTGTCAATTACGAAGGACATATCTGTGTACCTCGTGATCACAATTCGTTGCAAGCGGCGTGTGAAAAACTGCAAGTTTCAGTTTGACAGTTCTGGCAGTTAAATGGGTTTCTAATTTTGGCATGTACTAAAAGGCGAAACGTCGAAACGAAACAACCGAAACGAAACGACCGAAACGAAACAACCGAAACGAAACGACCGAAACGAAACGACCGAAACGAAACGGCCGAAACGAAACGACAGAAAATATAAATTACAGGAAAATTGAAAAATGCGGATACGGACGGACGGGGGGGGGGACAGGCGGATGGACGGGGGGGGGGGCGGCTTCATTTGACACGAAACTCAATTTTAAAATCAAATCCGTGTTTTGTTGAAAGGGATATATTAGGATATATTATAAAAGACTATTATTAATCGTAATAAATTGTCCGCGATAAGTTGATAAAATACATGTGGAAATTCGGGGTTTTTCGAACCTTCGTAACGCTTGATATAAGGATAAAACGCGGATATGCTACAACTTTCATGCTTAATATTCTCAGTCATCTGGGTATGTAGTAATCTAATTTTATGCAATGCAATGTGCTATTTTTTCAAGCGCTTTTCAATGCAGTTATCGGTTTAAATATACCTAAAATTCCCGTTAAGAGATATGACAATTGCCGTACGGCCTACTTTTACGCAAACAAAATTACAACTGCAAATTTCATGCTTAATTTTCTCTGTTATCTGCGCATGTAGTAATGTAATTTTATGCCAATGTAAGGTGCTATTTTTCAAGGGCTTTTCAATGCAGTTATCGGTTTAAATATAACTCAAATTCCCGTTAAGATATGACAATTGCCGTACGGACTACTTTTACGCAAACGCAAATTACAACTGCAAATTTCATCAGCACATTACATTGGCCTAAAATTACATAACCTGAGTATCAGGCCCTCGGTATTGAAAGAGGGCCTGACACGAATCGCCTCAAAAGCCATGTTCAACATCCAGAATCTGGATGTTATGCTGATTGGCTAAGAGACGATAAAACGCATCATGTGATTCCAACCGGAAATATATGACCGGCGTATGTAAACACCAAAAATGGAATTTGTAATTTTGTCAATATACTGTTAAAAGTGCTTTATTTCTGAAATTTATTTTCAATTAATTAAGCCTAAAAATGACAAAATAAGTACGAAAAGACGTTGAAAACGCTTTTGCAGCAACATTTTACTCGGTATAAAACTAAAACTACATATTCATAGTAGAAAGCGTGTCTAAATATCTCGCCGTAATAGTCGCCGTAGAACGAAATATGTGGATGTCGGAAATTTTCAAATATTTAGTTCCAAAAAGCTGAAGCCTTATTTATCAGTTTATTGCCGAGCTGTTTTCCAAGACCTGCAAGGATATAGTAGTCAGCTCGCTCGAACTAATATACCAACATCAGGCAGAATTTGAAGACAATAGCCGCTGTGTCAGACGCAGTTGAAGCGAATAGCTGTCTCGAACAAACTATTAACATGACACGAGGACCGAGGAAGAAGAAATCCTATTCAGAGCGCCGAATGTTGTCTCTTTAGACTCCTGGAAAAAGCCATCGAGCTATGGTTCCCCGAATAAGGCATAGTTTACCCTTAGAATTCCATCATGTGGATATTTCGACAAAAACATACCGATTTTTCTCCGTATTTATTCAAATTTATATAAAACTGCAAATAACGAAATTTGCGTATTTACATACCTGTAGCGGACAACCGGAAATATGCTACAACCGGAAATAATTTTAATTGGCTGATATTCTGGGGGTGGAAAGCCCGCAGAGGCGAATTGTGTCAGGCTCTCTTCAATACCGAGGGCCTGATACTCAGGTTATGAAATTACATTACTACATGCCCGGATAACAGAGAAAATTAAGCATGAAAGTGGCAATTGTAGCTAATTTTCGTTTGCGTAAAAGTAGGCCGTACGGCAATTGTCATATCTCTTAACGGGAATTTTAGGTATATTTAAACTGATAACTGCATTGAAAAGCCCTTGAAAATATAACACATTACATTGCATAAAATTAGATTACTATATACCCAGATGACTGAGAAAATTAAGCATGAAAGTTGCAGCATATCCGCGTTTTATCCGATCAAGCGTTACGAAGGTTCGAAAAACCCCACATTTCCACATGTATTTTATCAACTTTTCGCGGAAAATTTATTACGATTAATAATAGTCTTTTATAATATATCCTAATATATCCCTTTCAACAAAACGCGGATTTGATTTTAAAATTGAGTTTCGTGTCAAATGAAGCCGCCCCCCCGTCCATCCGTCCTCCCCGTCCATCCATCTGTCGCCCCCCCCCCGTCCATCCGCCTCTTCCCCCGTCCATCCGCCTCTTCCCCCGTCCATCCGCCTCTTCCCCCGTCCATCCGCCTGTTTTCCCCGTCCATCCGCCTGTCCCCCCGTCCGTCCGTCCGTATCCGCATTTTTCGATTTTCCTGTAATTTACATTTTCGGCCGTTTCGTTTCGGCGGTTTCGTTTCGGTCGTTTCGTTTCGGTTGTTTCGTTTCGGTTGTTTCGTTTCGGTCGTTTCGGTGGTTTCGGCCGTTTCGTTTCGGTCGTTTCGTTTCGACGTTTCGCCTTTTAGTACATGCCGAAAATATGCACATGAAAATGTTAATTGTCATCTCGGTGGGAAACAAGCAAGCATCAAATACCGAGATAGGCCGATATGAAACGATTCAATCAGGAACAATTTGCGAAGTCCTTAGGCAGGCCCCTTGGGATACCGCTTTTGTATTCGAGGAAGTAGATGATGTCTTGAATGGTTGGGAACAAATTTTCAATGGCGTGCTTGATTCTTATTGTCCGTGGCGTGAGAAGCGCATTAAGAAATCTCTGCAAGCGCCGTGGATTACAAAGCCTGTAATTTATCAGTTACGAATGAGAGACAAATTGTTAAACTAATTGCGAAACGCACTAATTCAAGCTTCTAGTGTCATACGGACAGCCAAGCGGGATTATTATTACTCGGCTTTTGAAGAGAATAAGAATAATCCCAAAACAATTTAGAAAACAATCAAGTCGTTAACTGGGACAAACAAGAAAGTTTAAAGTGAAGTGAGAAATTTAAAAGTTGATGATGGTATTGTGATAAATGATTCCATTGTCATTGAGATGGCGAACAAATTTAACTTGCATTTCTCCACCATTGCGGACAAATTGAGAAGTGTCGGTTACCCAATGTCGCCCCTGATCTTTCCAAGTTGCGGAACTTTGTCAATTCCAAAAAAAGTCCCGATGTTTTATTTACTATCCCTGCGATGACAGTTGCACAGGTGCTTAATGCACTGAAAATTTCAATCAACATAAAGCAGCAGGAATTGATAAAATATAAGTGCTCGTTTGTTAAAAACTGCTGCTCCTGTAATCGCGCCCAGTGGCGGACAGGAGCGAAACTAGCCCCTTTTGATTGGGAGGGGGGGGTCTGCTAGAATTGCCCTGCGAAACCGATGATGCCCTGCAGCAAAAAAAATTTTCGGACATACACCAGTTCAATTAAAGGTCAAAAAAAATTTTTCGGACAAATTCCTGTTAACACATGCATGAAACCCTATAGGATATTGAGGCGGTGAATGAGATTTTTTTTGAGAAACTATGAAAATCTTCGAGTCTTTTCAATTCTTTTTAATTTCTTTTGACCTAAAAGAGGGCTAAAAACAGTCTTTTCGAGTGCAAATGGGGGGGATATGTCGGAAATTTGAAAGTTTTGTCGGAAATTTAGGAGGCTTTGCCCCCCCCCCTGGAAAAAGTGAATTTCGGCCACTGACGCGCCAAGTATCACAAGATTAATCAATTATTCAATTTTTACTGGGTTTTCCCTCAATGATGGAAGACAGCTAAAGTCACGCCATTATTCAAGAGTGGCGATTCAAGTAATCTCTCAAGCTATTGCCCGATATCCATTTACGACAGTTATATGCCTTTCTCAGTTAATTCAACCTGATCTTTTCAAGGCAGTCTGGCATAGTTGGCTTAGAATATGGATGGTGCAGAGGCGTAGCCAGGATTTTTGGTCAGGGGGGGCCAGCAAAAACCCAGGTGGGGCCAACAAATTTTCCGCACCACAACATATTAAATCCCCCCCTGTCGACAACTTTTTTGGGTAATATCAATAACAATAAAAAAAAAAAAAAAAAAAAATCAAAATATCAATAACAATAAAAATATAAAAAAATGTCAATATCAATAAAAAAATATAAATATCAATAAAAATATCAATAACATTACAATTTCTTTCGTAGCACTTTTCCCCATTTCCGTATCACATTTTCCGACAACGTTGAGCCCGTCGAGCCCGCGTTAAAAATTCATTGATAAAAAAACCAGATTGTTTTAAACTTCATCTAACCCTCATTTAATACATATTGAAATAATTAGGGTTAGAAAAGGTACGTGTTTCAAGCTGTGTGCCGCAAATAAGCGAACAAGATTTTAAGTTTCATACCTGATACACCGATGCGCAGCAAGCATATATTCTACAGAATGTTTGCATTATTGACAGCATGAAGCTATGTAATCAAGGATTTCCTTTTTTATACAATACATTTTATCAGGGGCCCCCCAAAATTTTGCCAGGGGGGGGGGGCCGGGCCCCCCGGCCCCAGCCCTGCATGGCTACGCCTCTGGGATGGTGTGAGTCTTATTTATCGAGTAGAACCCAACTAGTACTGGTCAGTTTGAATGGTGAAGAATCATCTACTGCCTACATGCATCACGGCGTTCCTCAGGGTTCTATCCTTGGACCATTATTCTTCATACTGTTTATAAACGACCTTCCGCTACACGTCACCTCCGATACTGATCTTTACGCTGACGACACGACGATTACTGCGTCAGCTGATTTCAAGGAAATTGCACAGCTGAACACAGAGCTAGGCAAATACATCATTGGGCCAACAACTTAATCCCTTGAATGAAGAAAAGACAAAAGTGATGATCATAAGTTGATAAGTGGGAATAGATTGGCATTTAAGGTTGCGGATGAACTCAGCCGGTGTCATGATAGACGGGGATAAGATTATGCCTAAAGAATAATTTAATTTAAAAAATTTAATTCAAAAATTTATATTGCGCGTGTTACATAGGAAGATGTTCACTCGCGCATTACATCAAAATAGAAAATTGGAATATTACACTAATTTAAAAACCGTTCTACAATAAATCTAAGAACCTACAGGGCTGCTATATATTACTTGTCCTAATTGTGACAGCATGGAGGAAAATGTCTTTATAAAAAAATGGCAATCTTGTCCAATACTCTCGACTCTTAACGATCCGTGAACACCGCTAGGTTTCGTTCGGATCGTTCGAATGGTAAAAAAGTTAATTTACCCTCTGTATAAGTTATTCGTGGTAGTTTGATCATTATTTAACTTACTGATGACGTCATTACCTGTACAGAGGTCTAGTCTATTCGCACCATTCCTACGAATCGTACGAATCGTTCGATTCGTGAACTCTTCCATATCCGTTCGAATGGTTAGATTTCACTTACTGGTGACGTCAGCACATCTATAGAGGTCCACTATAATATTCGTACAATTCGTACGAAGCGTACGAACCGTTCGACTCGTGAAGTCTCTCCTATTCGTTCGAATGGTTAGATTCGTAAAAATCGAATAAGTCGATGATAGTTAATGTATGTGTTTCCCTCGTTCTTTAGAATAACGACGTATACAGCTAATAGAAATGTGAAAAATAATTTGCGTGCTTTGTGCAACATGATTGTATTCGGAATGTGTTTCGTGTGAGAGACGATAGTTAATCTGTGTGTTTCCCTCGTTCTTTAGAATAACAACGTATACAGCTAATAGAAATGTGTCTAACAATGTACATGGACAACGCCTAGATCTCTTACATCATCTTTCCGACGTTCTTTAAAATAATTTGCGTGCTTTGTGCAACATGATGGTATTCGGAATGTGCTTCGTGTGCGAGACGATAGTTAATCTATGTCAGTGTTTCCCTCGTTCTTTAGAATAACAACGTATACAGCTAATAGAAATGTGTCTAACAATGTACATGAAAAACGCCTATATCTTTTACATCATCTTTCATCGATTAATATTACAAATCAGTCTTGCTGCGGAGTTCTGTACTTGTTGGAGTTTGTATATCTGATTGGCGGGCAGACCATACAAGAGACTGTTACAATAGTCGAGTCGACTCGTAACGAAAGCGTTAATAAGAATTTGTGTAGAATCAAAGCTGAGAAATTTTCTGATACGTCTGATATTAAATAGGTGGAAAAAAAGTTCCTTTACAGCATTTATTGATGTGTAAGTCCATTTTCAGTTGCGAATCGAACCAGGAGCCGAGATTCCGTACTACGCTATATGGTTTGATAATTTCGTCTCCGATGCACAGTGAATCAACACTTACTTTTGCCAACTGTTGCTTTGTTCCGATGATGATGAACTCCGTTTTATCATCATTTAACTTCAGTTTGTCTGCTAGCATCCATTTCTTGATGTCTGTGATGCAATCTTGCATTGCCTTAATGGCAGCGGATTGCTCGATCATAGAGGCAGGTTTGAATGAAATGTATAATTGCGAGTCGTCTGCAAATGCATGAACATTTGGTAGGTGGCTTTCAAGAATAGTAAACAGTTTGCTTGCATAGATGACAAACAAGACAGGACCAAGACAAGAGCCTTGCGGAACACCATACTTCATTTCAAATTATCTGGATTCACCACCGTTGATAGAAATACATTGAGATCTGTTCTCGAGGTATGATTTAAACCAAGTTAGTACATGACCTGTGATACCAAAGCTAGAGCGTAGTCGATTCAGCAGGATGGTATGGTCAACAGTATCGAATGCTGCACTCATATCAAGCAGTACCAAAAGAGTTACGTGTTGTTTATTCATGTTCATCAAGATGTCATTTTTCACACGTAGAAGAGCAGTTTCAGTACTATGATATTGGCGGTAGGAAGATTGAGCTTTAGGGTAAAGTTTGTGAGCGGTAAGGTGGTCATGGGTTTGATTAAAGACAGCTCGTTCCGTGAGTTTGGAAACAAATGAAAGGTTGCTGGTGGGACGAAGATTATCAAATATAACCTCATGCAGCTTTTGACTTCTTTAAGCCTGGGTGGACTTTAGCCAGCTTCCAGTTCTCAGGGAAACATCCGGATTGCTGGGACAAATTTATCATTCCTGTAATTACCGGCAGAAGTACATCCAGGCAGTGGACCACAAGATGAGTGGGCATGGGGTCCAAGGAGCATGATTTTTTGCTTGAGTTTGAGATAATCTGGTTAACATCATCCTCAGTTAATGTCCTGAACGAGTCCAGTTGAACATTAGGCATGGTCTGTGGTTCACTTGTAGGGTTGTCATAGGTGGTTGCACTGTCAAGTTCTTGTCTAATGCACTCGATTTTCTTGGCGAAGAAGTCACCTATATCATTCACAAGGACTGTATTATCGCTGTATTCTGGAAAATGCAAATCAGTTTCTTGATTAAAAAGAAATTTGGCAGACTTGAACAGTTTACGATGATCGCTGCTATTCTCTTGTATGAAGGTGGTGTAGTACCCATTACGTGCGCGTTTCATTACAAAAGTGGCTTGATTTTTCTTTGATTTATAAACAAGGAAGTCACCATACAGTTTAGTCCGTCTCCATTTCCTTTCAGCTCGTCTTCGTGCTCTTTTCGCTAACTTGACTTCCTCATTAAACCAAGGAACGGTTGGTCTTTTTACAACTGTTTTGTGATTCACAGGCGCATGTCGATCCAATGATGATGACAATGTATGGTTATAGCAGTCAACAAGATCATTGAGCTCCATAGAAAGCATGTTCTTGCAGAGATCTGAGTTGGAGAGATCGTTGCAGAGAGCATCGACATTGATGGATTTAACTTTCCTGTAGGATATATGGGTTTTCTTAAGATGAGGCTTGTTAACTAGAAGGTTACAATGAACAGGCATATGATCTGAAAATATGTAATCAGTTCGAGGTGGAGAAGTAACGATATTTTCGGAATGTCTTGTTATTATGAGGTCAAGGGTATGTCCACGGATATGAGTTGGGACATTGACATGTTGCTGTAGACCTGTACTCTCGAGTAGCTCCTGAAGTTTGACAGCATCAACGTCATCAGTCACATCAACATGTATATTGAAGTCACCAGTTATCAAGAGCTGGTCAGTACAGAGGACCGCAGATTCAAGGAATTTAGCAAACTCATCAAAAAATATTGTGGTAGATATTGTGGGATGAATATCGGAGTATGGTATTCTGTAGACAACGACTAGACGAATACGCCGGGACCCTGCTTTTATATTCCACTCAGAGTATTCAAAAGATCGGAGTTCTGCAGCGGATACTCTGTTAACAGTCAAATTATTCCTGAACAGCACTTCAGTGCCACCACCATGCCAGCCGGATCGTGGGTGGTCCAAGAGCTTATAGCCTGTGGGCGTGCAGAGGGACCTAGCAGCAATTTCATGTTCATGAAACCAGGTTTCAGTTAAAGCAACAATATCAGGTTGATGATCACATATGAAATCGGTAAACTCAGCGGCTTTATTGTTGAGTGATCGAGTATTCATAAGACAAAAGCTAAGGTTTTTGAAGTTGTTAGGTAAAAGCAAACTATTATTAATATTGACGCTGATACAGTTTATTGGGCTCCGAAATACATTCAATTGCTGATGTAAATTCATTCTTTCAGTAATACGCACGAGAATACTTAAATTAGTGGCAGAACTTCTCTTCTGTTCTATTACTGATTGTTGTGTTTTAGGTTGATAACTTTCCCATCCTGGGTTTTGTTCGACATCACCAGATAGTAATAACAATCTTCTTGTCGCAGTTGAATTTGAATAATACATAGCTCTATATTTAGATAGCTTTCGTTTCTTAAATTAAATTAAGCGAAACCGGCCCAATTAAAAACAAATCCCGACCTGTACATTTCAACAGTATGCAAATCTGGGCACGATTAGCTTGGTTGAACACCGTCGTAAAACCAAAGGGCCAGTAATAAATTCGTTGTATTTCTTGCTCATTTCCAAAATATTGTTTATCAAAAACATATTCCTCCAACAAGCAATCACAACCGGTTAATTCACTGTTAAAAGCGACAGTTCTCGAACTAGCTAACGTAGTAAAATAGACTAATAGCGTCCTATCCCGTTCTGCATGGTTAAGTAACTTGTAAAAGTCGACCAGTAAACTCGGAAATTCCAGCTTAATTTCATAACTTTCCCCTTCAAACACGATATCTGTTGAAGCAGAAGCTTCTCCTGACGAGGAACAGCCAAATCCAACAACCTCAGGACCAAAAGACAAGAAAATGCATACAAAAAACAAGGAGCTCAAAAACATATATATACGTCCTTACATGATTAAAACCGAATCAATTTGACATTACTACATTATTAGGGTTAGATATTGATAGTAAATTATGTTTTAAATGAACATTTGGCGTAATCAAGAAAATGAAAGCTAAGCAAAAACGAGGGAGGAGGAAGATGTTCGCAGTCTGCTCTTGCGGAGTACGGAAATCATGCAATCTAAGTTGTTTTCTCGGTGGCGGTGGATTTTTCTGCGAACTCAGCTCGTTGAATCGATTGGTGCAAGCGTTTAATACCTGGACTCTGACCTGGACCGGAATGGCTTTCAATATGCAGGGCGAATAAAACATAAGATCAATTTCATCTTTTACCGGATGAAAATATCAGTGCGCCAATGGAAATTTGTATTCAATAGCACGTGATCATAACCAGCCAATTAAGTAACAGTAATTTAATAATAATGTATTATATACTTACAATAATAATGTATTATATAGTTACATATATACGTATACAAGTCCTTGACTTTACATACCCTTTCATGCACCTAAAATAATACATTAATTAATACTAAATATTTTAACATCTATGACATTATGCAGTCTATATATAGTGTATATTATACACTAGCTACAAATATAATTAGTTGATCTCATGTTACATTCTTCTGTGTCTGCCTCACAATATACTGGATGTAGGTAAGTGAATACGTGCGTTAAATCACAGTTAACTGTGTTAAATATCGTGTTTACATCAGATATTTTGCAGCTTAATGGCGTAATCAAGAAAATGAAAGCTAAGCAAAAACGAGGGAGGAGGAAGATGTTCGCAGTTTGCTCTTGCTGAGTACGGAAATCATGCAATCTAAGTTGTTTTCTCGATGGCGGTGGTTTTTCTTCGAAGTCAGCTTGTTGAATCGATTGGTGTAGTATCTTCTGGTTCGTGGGACATGCATGCATGAAATATAAAATTCAACATTTTCCTCATTTGTTCTAAAGGTACACAAGGGTTGAAATGAAGTTGACGGATCACAACTTACACTTGCCTAATAGGCAATGCCTATGTTTTGACAAACAACCGACAGAATACTGATACCTGACGAAAGATAATGGAACTAACATTTTACAAATACCTTACTATTTACAACTAAACTGCACAAACCCTCAATAAAGTTCGAGAGAAAGAGATAAAATATAGTACAATAATGGTTTTTCCATTAATCGTAATAAGTTCGTATAGTGTATATTATCAGTTTAAACTGAGCTGCTCGCATTTGTAGAAAGTACATCGTTCATTTCCTTCTTGTAGAAACCTTTACCTTTACACAATTCACAATCTTTGTCCTGTTTTGTCTTTCCGCGAACAGCATCACGAACCCACCTGATCGCAGGCATGACTGATCCCTTCTCACCTTCCGGACCGACCAGAGCCATAACAGTCGGGAAAAAAAACAATGAATACATAATACTGAAACCAATTGTGCAGAATATGAAAATTCCAAATTGGAAGAAGAATAGAATTTTTGCAGCCAATAGAAATATTGAAGCTCCCAATGTAGTACAGGCTCCAGATAGGACTGAGATACCAACATGAGATAAAGTATGCTTAACTTTGGCTTCACTTGTTTCATGTTTAAGTTCCATATATCCTTCTGCCAAATGAACAACATAGTCAACAGCAAGCCCGACTACAAGAGTAAGGTTGAGTGATTCCAGCGGTCCAAGTTTCCAACCAATCATGTTGATGACACCAAGTACAGAACACGTGATCAAAGCGATGATGAGCGTTGCTAAAACACCAACAGCAAGGTTGGTGGTAGCGACAACAAGAATTACCAAAGCCAAACATAAACCGATTATGATTCCAGTCATAGCGTTGATAACAAGAATCTAAAATCAGATAATGAACTCTTCGATTTAAGTCGTTTAAGTACAATTACTTATGAAAAGTTATCAAGGTTGTTACAATATCTATAACAGAGATGAGCCCAGATATTTTTATTGTAGGCCAGGTATTGGTAGAAACACTCGATCGCCACGTAATGAGGCGAGAATCCCACGAGGGAATTTGAATTTAGGAGCGAAAATTGCACGGAAGAAACGGCACAGTCCTGCTATGGCATTATGAGCTCATTTATGAATTTTTGTGCACTTTGACACTTAGTAATACGTTGTCTTTGCTTGAATGGGTTTATAATAAATCCAGTGAAGTTTAATTATTATATAGACAGACAGACAGACAGACAGACAGACAGACAGACAGACAGACAGACAGACAGACAGACAGACAGACAGACAGACAAACAAACAGACAAACAGACAAACAAACAGACAGACAAACAGACAGACAAACAGACAGACAGACAGACAAACAGACAGACAGACAGACAGACAGACAGACAGACAGACAGACAGACAGACAGACAGACAGACAGACAGGCAGACAGGCAGACAGACAGACAGACAGACAGACAGACAGACAGACAGACAGACAGACAGACAGACAGACAGACAGACAGACAGACAGACAGACAGACAGACAGACAGACAGACAGACAAACAGACAGACAGACAGACAGACAGACAGACAGACAGACAGACAGACAGACAGATATATTTATTTAACCACGCTAACCTCGTCAACTAAAGCTGATTTCCACGAGGGGCCGTGTGAACAAGAAGTATACAGCAAATATGAAAAGTATTTAAAGTACTATTTAAAAAACGAGCAGGAGTGTTTTATTAGGTTTAAAGCCACGAGCGCGCAGCGCGAGTGGCTTTAGACCTAATAAAACACGACCTGCGAGTTTTTAAATGGCTTCAAAAACGTTTGCATAATAAGTCAAATCTTTATATAAAAATCTTTATATAAAAATCTTTATATAAAAATCTTTATATAAAAATCTTTATATAGTTTGCATAACAATGGTCTTTTGTTAAAGTGTTCTTTAGCTGGTATAGGTATAAAGATGTATGCACGTAACTAATTTCTTACTCAAGATTGGATAATTGCTTCATGAATTATTAATGAGTTTTTTAAAGTTATTTACAAAATAGAAAACATAGTATAAAATATATTAAGTATTAAAATATAACATATAGTATATGAGGTAATAATGTATTTACAGATGCATATATTTGATTTAATTATCAATGTGAGCAGCGATTTTCGTCCGAAAGGAAGAAAGGGATTTGCTCTCTTTAATTTCCTTAGGAATAGAATTCCAAAGGAATGATCCATCGTACATAAAACTTTTTTCAAATTATTAGTCCGCGGTTGCGGTAAACAAAGAGTACTTGAAACGTTCCGAAGATTATAGCTAGTAATTTCACTTTTATAAGTGAATAAGTTAGTGAGTGATTGAGGGCCCATGTTATTTAATAATTTATGCATCATTTTTGCCTTGGCTTTCCTCCTTTCTACTTTAAGTGACTTCCAGCCCAATGCTTGCAATGCTACAGAATGATCTGTGTCATTGCTCATATTCATGATAATTCGAGCTTTGAAGTCGTTTTGACTGTGTTTCACCGAACACATCCCATACTTCACAGCAGTAATCGAAGTATGGGCGAACAATAGATTATAAACGGAAAGAAGCGTTTGCCTGTCAACAAAATCCTTTAAACGTCTAAGAGCAGAAATTCCTGATGTTATTTTCCTGCAAATATTTTCAGTGTTACTTTTCCACGACAAATGCTGGTCGACTGTCACTCCAAGAGTTTTGCACTCATGCACTTGTTTAATCTGTTTGTTTTACCACAATTGGCTGCAAATTTGAAGGCTAAGTTTATTGGCAATTAGCCATTTTTTTAGGTTTTCTAAATCAGAATTAACGCAGCTTCTAGACGAGTTATCGAGTCGCCAGATGCTGTCAGGTTTGTGTCGTCAGCAAATAACCGAGGTTTTGTTTTTTATAGACATTGGGGCAAATCATTGATGTACAACAAAAAGAATAATGGCCCTAAAATAGAGCCTATTATTACTCAACTATTATTATTATTCAACTGTTTTTGGATATGATTAAGCTGAGGCATTTAAACCCTTCATTACCTTGGTTTTATGCTAACAATAAATAAAATGCACATATACACAAAATATAGTATATACACAAAAGGTTGTCCTTCAAAAATCTTAAACCTTAAACATCGAACGCGCAAGGTATGATGGGTATTGCTTCTAGGGAGCCTATGATTAGACATTAGCAAAGTGAACTAAATAGGCTATATCGAAATTGTTCATTATATATGCCCTACCATATTGTTGCAAAGCAAATTTACCGAGCTAGTTTAAGACCCTAAATAGAACGTTACCCATCATATATTGCGTGTGCAAACAGAAGTAACTAGGCATCACAATAACATTTGAACGATTAGGCCCATTAGTTGATCGAGTTTTAGATATACAAAGTTGTATTTTGATTTAGACTATTATTGAGCATTTTAATAAAGTTAACTATACCTCTTGAACCTTTATCCAATGCCATATGTTGAACCCTGATATTGTAGCTTGAAATCCATTGTTACAGGAAGAAGGGAGGTCCCTCATCTGCATGCGGGAAAAATTATATTTTCAAAA